CTTCTCTCACAGATCAGAGAAAACAAAGCCCTGGTTCACAGAAATAAGTGCAACTTGCTGCACCTAATCTTGATGAGACATCTTCTGGGTTCACCTAATGAGCATTAGCCAAAGTAAACCATGTGCCCTGGGAGTTGCCAGAGCCACAGCTGTGGGTGCTGCTGATGTCCCAAGTGCATTTCTCTGGAGCTCTGGGTCAGTGGTGTAGCTGAGTTTGTTTGGACAGGCTGATGGCATCCCCTTGTTATCTCCTCAGCAATTTTGCTAGTGTTTGTTAAATACAAGCATTGTTAAAAACTGAAGTATATAAGCTGCTCATTAAATTATATTAAAAATAAAAGTTCTAAACACTCAAAAGTCATTACTTTCTAATTATTTTACTATGATCTATGTTCTTAAGGTTATTTATATTTATTATGTCTGCATAGGGAAAAATCTTACATAAGGATGCGCCAGTGTCCTTCCCTTCCCAGTTCTATGTGGAATGACATCACATCGATAGCTTGAAATTGACAGTGGTGATGTTTACAGCATGAAAATCAGCCAGGTCTACACATTAGAGATTTTTTTTTTTCAGAGAGCTGGCTATTGAACATTTACCAGCACACCACTGCCTGGAATCCACACGACCCAAGCTTTTGTATTCTGTAATAAAGAAGACAGAATCCTCCCAAATCCCTACTACATTATTCTTCTGGATTTTTCCAAAGCTGAGCTCTGCTTTGGATTTCTGGAATCTCAAAAGGATTGTGTAAAAGACCCTTTCTGTCCTCCTGTCCATCCTGAGGACTTGGGTACAAGCTGATGCTGAAGTGGAGCTTAAGGGAGAGGGACAGCCACCTCGTACCTGACAATTGTCCCTGTATGTCCGTCCCCTGCTACTTGTGTTCTGCTACCAACCCCAAGGCCTGGTTAGCCTCAAAGATCTTGAGATGACAGGGGAAACGTCTAGGCAATAGTGATATCAATGAGAACAGAAAAGAAAAAAGAAAACAGGACAGATTTTTGTGAGAGGGAGGACATGGCTTTGCTTTGTACCTAATTAGCTATAGATGATGAAAAAACAAGACAGAGTCAAAGATAATTCAGGTTAACTTTTTTGACCTCCCTGGCTTCAATACAAGGAGCTGTCAGGCATACCAAGGAGAATAAAATCTGCCAAGAACACACACCTGAAGAAATACTTCACATTTCAACTTGCAACCCTATTAACAAGGGGTGGCAATGACCACTGAGGAGAGGTGATGATGGTGGTTTGTCATGCTTCTCAAAAACCAGAAAACTCAGTGGAACGCTAGCAGGCTAGGGATGTAGCTCAATGGCAGAGCACTTGTGGGCCTGTATGAAGCTCTGGGTTTCATCAACCGAACCTCATGAAGAAAAATGTTAGTATTCTAGAGAGACTTTAAAGTCCATTCCACTTGTTAGTATTTCTATCACTCTTTATCTCACTTGACCATCTCCAGCATGGACAGAGCTGGGCAGAGCCTTCTGCTTGACATATTCTCACTAGCTTCTCTATCAATCAGTA